GAAATCTGTTCGATCTATCAATTTGAACTATGTTTGTCTCTAGCTGTAGTGGATGAAAACTCATTTTAATTTGCCACCAACCTGCCTTGTTTCAAAACTTGGTTTGGTTTTCCGCTTTCAATGCAAATTTTGTCAGTTGTAAAAGTTCAAGATAACCGGCTGTTAAAACAATACTCATGCTCAATATATTTATTGTTCAATCAATAGTCAACACTTTTAGTGGCAATTCTTAGAAATAATCTCTTTGGATAAAGCTGAATTAACACAAAAGTTGGAAGTTTCAAAAAATATTTGGTTTGTGAAATACGTCAGCTTTACGCTCGATAAATAACTTGACTTAAACAACCTGGAGTGAGTGTTTTTCTAGTATAGCTGTGTGGCTATTAGACTAATTAGAGACGTTTTGGAAGAAGAGGTCTTGAGATCCGAAGTTTGAAGGTAAGCGGTTAAGGTAGAGTCAATTTTTCCAACAAGGTCAACATTATAAGATGTGCTTTGCCTTTTTTCGCGACAAAACTGTTTAGTTGAAATCTTTGTATGAGTTCAAACGCTATAACATCAACTTTTTTTTATCAAACATTGAATCGGTCTTCTTCCACGCTGTACATGTAAATCCTAAAATTCACAATGCCAATTTCTCTTTCCGTGTTGCTAAATTCTCAATGACAGATGAACTGTTGTAGGAACCACCTATTACCAACTAAAAAGATCATTTTCATTGATTACGTCATAAGGCGTATTTTCTGTTACAATAGTCTTAAACCTCTTGCTTACCAAGTTTGCTAAACCATAAATTCAGAAAGGAAAAAGTTCCTTTGAATGCCGGACCACCCCGTAGGAGATTGACCACAGACTTAACAAAGTAAAACCACATCTCTACAAGTCAACGCCATTGACTCTTGTGGTGGGCACTTTCTAAGATGTGCAATCTTTGATGTTGGATAATGGCAGCGAAATAAATTGCGATGATCCTGAAAAGCTATATTAGTACATGGATCATGATTCAAGGAGTCTATAATACATTCTTTCTCATCTGTTTCCAGTAGTTAGAAACAGATCTCTAACAAATGAGACTGGTATTTCAGCTAGTTTTTGGTCCCCATTGGAGTGCTCGGAAGGCTACAAACAAGGTCTAGTTTTACCGATAAACTAAAATTAAGAACTCAAAGGAGGAAAACAGAAAAGTAAGTTCTTACAAGAACAGATGCTGTTACCGTTTATGTGTATTACGTAAGGTGGGATCTGACTTTCCAAACTTATTAATAATTCAAATGCTAGATACTGATGACAAATTTTCGATTGTTTTCTCAATCCTTAAATTTTACCACCACACCAGTTTGTCTATAAAGAGCTTTTATCACTAGAACTACGCAACAATGTTTTATCGCAAAAGATTGTTTCAATGTTTTTGGTGCTGTGATAAAAAGACCCCTGCGTCTTGTGTTTGATTTACAGCACATATATTGCATGTGCTTGTATGTTTTGTTTTACCAATGCAGGTCATCCGATAGTATTCTAGGGTACTGTTTCTTTCAAATTTTGTCTTATTCATCTGCATAAGTGCGCATAAATTATGAAAAGACAAAGGGGCAAAATTTCCCTGGGACCTTCATTGGGAAAACAAAGTATACACGCAAACAGGGTTTATTGCATTCGGCATCGGGCGGTCGCAACCTAAACTCAACGCGCGAGAATCGAAGACTAGGCACGAACATTTAGCAGAAAGGAACTAGATTCTTGATACTTTAGGTCAAGTTCCCAGAGCCCTTTGTTTCTTAAGTCTTGTGGTCTTTGTCTCCCTGAGAAAGGGCGTTGCGTGGTGACGAAACAAAGAACGGCTACGCTTTACTATGTACAACAAGGCAAGCCGAGTGGATTGCATTTTTCAAGCCAACTAAACTAAGGTATATTTAAGGATTTCTAGCAATTTTGCTGGCGGTATCTCTTTAAAGTCAGCCGCCGAAAGATAAAGTGTATCATCTTTTGATTTCACAGACAGCTGACAAGCTATTAGCAGATTCGGTCACTTGCTATTATCATGATGAGTATATTGATCTTACTGCTAACCATAACGTGTGCTGCAACGGCAATCAGCAATGGCAATCAAACCACGCAAACAATGGTAGGTTTATAAAAACAGTTATTTTAAATCTGACTAGTTCCTGGGCTAGGGGTAGGAATAATTTAAACTCTTCTAAGTGGAACTTAAAGCTGAGACAATTGTCCTCATTTAAAATTTGAGGAAACGAAACAAAAAAAAGAAAAAAAAGTCAAAGTGAGAAAAGGTCAAACTGAATGAAGGGCTTTCCACAAGTTGCTTGGCAATTATTTGACAGCTTCTCGTTTTTCGAGCCATTTTTTTCGTTTCGAGCAACTTTTTGCATTCTGAGCAATTTCTTTAGTTATCTTCTAATTTTGAAATATCGGAGCAGCTTCTAGTGCTTACATTAGCCTTTCTTCCATAGTTCAAAATGTCTTAGAAGACAATTTAGGAATTTCCTGTAAGAAAATGAGCCAAATCCTGCCTCCGGGGGGCAGATCATGGGCTCAAGATAAAAGTAGCAGGCTGCTAGGTAAGAAGTTTCTCGAGAAAATTCAAAATGGTGGACAAAGATTTACACTCAACTGACTTGAGTGTCTCGGGTGATGAAGAAGGTCATTCAACAATTTTATTGACTCATGACATTTTTTTGGTTTTAATTGGGGTCAGAGTTATTTAGCAACGTTGGTTCGCTACAAAATTGCACATAAATGGTTGGAAATCTTACTTTTGTTGTTTGATTTGCATTATTTTTAGCATCTGACCAAAAAGTGAGTGTTACTAGTAAGAAATTGGAGTGGTGATACTCCGTTCGGAGCAAATTTCTTTATGATTTACCCAGTGCTTTGAAGGCGATGCAAGAAATGCTCCCAATTAATCAAAAGAGAACTTATGTTTTATATTTTCTTGTTCAAATTAGCAATGTCCATCGTCTTGTAATTTTGCGTGCGGTATTCCCGGCATGCCTGGCAAGCATGGTTCCAATGGAGCACCCGGTCGTGACGGACGTGACGGACGTGATGGCCGTGATGGAGCTAAAGGTGATCAAGGGTTAAAGGGGAAGACTGGACCTCAGGGACCTCCTGGTGATAAGGGACCTGCTGGTGCTAAAGGAGATCGTGGACCCCGGGGTCCTCCGGGACCTAAAGGGTCATCTGAACTAATGCCTTCTAAGAACTGGAAAGAATGCGTCTGGAGAAACGTGAATGATGGAAAGGACACTGGTCTGGTCAAGGTGATTTGTGTATTAAGGACTTTTAACTTTAACTAAAGGACGATATTCATATTCAAACACATTTCAGACATTCACTATAGCTGATTATGACAGAACTGTGGATGCCTTGAGGTCCGTTTTTGACGCCAAAATTTTCAGATTAGCCACGCTTTACGTACAACTTGTAAGAGAAAATACCCATGCATTGAAGCCTTTTTATAGCGGTACCTTTGTGTCCATGTTTAACAGGAATGTGTCTTTACCAAAAAACTTTCTGATACTGCCCTACATGTTTACTGGACCGGTGCGTTGAGGATTCACGGCTGTGATGGCTGCTGCAAACGTTGGTACTTCACTTTCGATGGCGCTGAGTGTTCTGGACCTCTGCCCATTGACGGGGTAGCTTACATGCAAACAGGCAAAAGTCAAGACCTCCATCGTGTCCGCCATATTGAGGGGCACTGCAACAACATTGACAAAGGACAAGTGCGCGTTGGATTCTGGATCGGAAATTGCAACGGATATGGGAACGCTGATGGGTACACAGGATGGAATTCAGTATCCCGGATCTTTGTTGAAGAAGTTCCTAAAGCGCAAGCTTAAAAGCGGCTCTATAAGGGGGGAATGAAACTGAATCCTTATTCAGAGTTCTTGCCCTTCGCAAAATAAAGTAGATTAGAAGCAAAGTCAAAAGTTTCTTTTATTTACTATTGGACCCTGTAGGGTTTGAAAAAGTTGAATAAAGCAAAAGAAAGGTACTATGATATTGACCCCTTATTTGTTGGGTAGTGGACTGAAAACTTTTATAATAACAGAAAGATGGATAAATTGTATAACGTATGTATTCATTTAAAGAGAGTTAAGCAGGATCTTTGAACATTCGTTGAAACTTAACATTATAAAACCATTTAGGGATCGTCCTTAACAGTTTTGGGAGGGGCCGTGAAATGAGACGATCTAGAGTTTCAGCCCCTACAAAAAGGGAGGGGGTAGGGGGTGTTTTGGAGTCTTTTTTTGAAATTTTAAAGGTAGATGTCTTTAAAAAGGAAGTGGTAATGTGCCACTAAAAGCTGGGCGCTGCAGATTTCGTGCCTGAAAGCCATTCGTGCAGTCATCGCGTGTGATTTATAATTCGATTTATCCAATACTGCAGCAAAACGAAATGATTTCTATAACTGTGTATCCGTGTCTTTCTTTAACTGGAAGCTTTGAAACAGATTTGCATTACTAGCGCGAAGACGGTTTTTTCTTTCGATTGCAAAATACAATTGTTCATGTCCGTAGCGCGCAAAGGGCCGCATTGCAGTTAAATTGTATAAAGTGGCAGAAGCGCACCTTACAACCTCGACAAAGGATAGTTCTCACAAATGCTGCACTGCTGCGCTTTGTAATAATCGTTACGATGATAGGAAAGACTGGACGTTTCATATTTACGAAGGATCCTTGCCGAAGGCTAGTTTCTCCTTAAGTTTCTCCACTGTCCACTTTCCGACGCATGTCAATTTACTATAAATGCCCTAGGAATATCTTTTGGAGTTAAATTTTAATTAGCCCTAAATCAAGGCAAATTGTTCTTATTTTCGCCACTCTGTTTACTTGCTTGGATACTTAAAGACAAACACGAGGTTCATACTTAGAACCGAAGTAAGACGAACGCTATACCTAGCCCTAGTTAGGCCACATTTGGGATACGCCACCCAAATCTGGGCCCCACAGTCCATTGAGCTCATTGTCAAGCTTGAGCGTATCCAAAGACGCGCGACTAAGTTTATCTTAAACTGCATTATTCTTCTAATATAATTTATAAGTCTCGTTTACAAATTCTAAACATAATACCTGTTTGTTACTGGAATGAACTTTTAGATCTAAACTTTTTTTTTCAAATTTACACACGGTCTTGTTAACGTGAACTCCTTTGTCCTACCTGAAGTTCACAAACGCGGTAGACGCACTAGATCCTCAACCAACAATGTTAATAAATACATAATTAAGAAATGTAAAACAAGTGCGTACCAAAAATCCTTTCTCATTAGAACTAGTAGAATTTGGAATTGTTTAGTGATGAACTAGATTTTAGCTCATCGACCTTAGCTTCCTTTAAATCGGTTATTTTTAATTATTATAAGTCCGCGTTAGCTGTTTCCTATGATTGTGAAGACCCACGTTCGTTCAAGTCTATCTGTTTAAAATGTAATAGTACTCGTCCCTTGTCACGTCCAATAACTTTTTGTATGTAGCTGTAGTTTTTCTTGTATCGCTTTGCTTTTTAATATTTCTTGTTTTTTTTTTATTAGTATCCGGGCACGCTGTAATTGGCCACAGCTGTTGCGGAGTCCCTGCCAACGTTCTTTCTGTTTGTCTGTTTGTTTGTTTGTTTGTTTGTTAGTTTTTTTTGACGAAGCTAATGCTTGCTCTTAAGAATCACTTTCATGCTTACGTCGTAAGTGTGTATCGTAATTCTTAGCATGAACAGAGAGCCTGGCAGAGAAACGGTTGACTCTCAATACGGTTAACACTGCGAACTACATTTGCAAACAACTTGGCAATTGATTTACCTTCTATCCGAGATATTTCCATACAAATTCTTAATAACAAGTGCATATAACATACTAATAGCCGTCAGAAAGGGGCGTTGACGTTCGGGCGTAAAAATTGCAGATTAGGGTTTCGGGGTGTTCAGAAGAAAAAGATTTTTATCACACAGGCATTCGTTAGAGCTGTCATTTAAAGAAAGTTGAGTGATTCTAGAACTACTTCTGCATCGGGATTAAAATTGCTATAACTCTTACCCGCCTCTCTGTTTTAGAATGGTTGTTGCGGTTGGGTTCCCTGTTAAGTTTTTCTTACCTTTAAAGGTCATGTGACCTGGTATTTCGTTCTTGCTTGTTACGTTTTTGGCGTGTATTTGCAGCTTGGGCATTTAGTCGAAGTAACGACCTAAATTGATCGACCTTAACGCATTTACGTTGTATCTTCACAGGACGAATTAGATTTTGTAGCCATCTCTCGCAGGGTAATAAAGGTCTGTGAATTCGTCGCTACAATGGTATCTCTTCAGGGGGTCAAATAAAGCCTGAGCCCCGCCCAGGTTGGCCTCCTTTTGGGTTCAGTCCCAATTGTTTGACTAGCAACCCCGCCCTTTTCACATGGGACCAATCCCATTGCAGGGGTTGTAATTGAACCACAAATAATAGAGACCTTCTTGTATTTTTCTAGTTTAGCTTAAAAGGGTTTTTTCTTTGCAAAGGTTTAAGTGTTGATGGGCTATTTTAGCACGCGAGTGTCAATTCCATCCGGCCTCTGTTTTCACTGGCTGATTCTTGTGTTTATACAACCAGTACAGTTATTGATCTTCTTTACGATAATGCTCAGTATTTACAATACAACTACAATACCCACCCCCTCACGACTGTTTCCTCTTGTAAATAAGGAGCTATCCTGGGATATAAATTCTTAAATCTAAAGAAAGGAGGTAAAAACAATGACTTCTGACATTCTAGTTGTTTAAATATCTGCAGGTAGATCAAGGACTGTATGAACAGCAGATAATGCTATCGTGGAAATGGCCTGTTTACAGACACTCATACAGTCACGTAGCTTCCGCTCGTTCTTCCTCAAATCACAATGACGACTGGGGTCCATTGTTAAGTTGACACTTCATCTCTTAAAAAGTTCGCAAATTTCTGTCAGTCCCGGTAATTATATGGTGGGTTTGTGACCAATCATAATAGTGTGAAGTGGTAATCATAATACTACTCTGAATTAATTCCCACCCTTAAAGAACAAAGCAAATTACACTTCGCCTGTAGAAACAGGTTTCACCTAGGCAGTTCAGTTGAGTTCAACGGTTGTAGCTGCGTTTGCTAAAGGCAAGAGACTACCAATTTTCACTTAATTGTAAGTTTACTCTATCAAAGTATTAGTAAGTAATTCAAGGATGTGTTTTTGTGGCTAATAGCCTCCTTTTTGAACACCGTTCATTGGAAACTCGGCCGGCTTAGCGGGTAGTCATTCGCTCAAAAATGTACAGGGAAAGCGCTGAAGCTGATTCAGCGGTGTGGAGTTACCGTGATGTGTGTATTGTGGTGCAGATAATTATTCACTGTCGTATGTAGGAGAGATTTAAGAACTTAAAGCACTTTACCTGGTAATCAAGATAAAGGTGGCAAACCTTAGCAACGAACCGTCTTGCACTTCAACGCAATCACATGAACTCTCGTCACGCCGACTGTTTTTTTTCTCGCAAAAGGAGCAATTTCAGTTGTAACTATCTAACTTCAATTCTTTTAAACATTGTCTGGGCTTACGCACATGCAAAACCCTATCACACCTAGCAACTTTGTAACTTTAATTTTGATTAATGATGTTCACAAAGCATGCCGATTGAATTGCAATGTTCAAGCTAAGTAAACCTCTTTTAGAATGACAAAGCTGATGTGTTAACACGATGAACCCGTTTTTATACTTAGTATAAATAATGGTATATTGTAGACTGATATTACTCTCTCGAGGTTTTGGTTTTTCTTGGGGTGGGGTAGAAGTCATAAATATGCCTTCAAAGTACCCACAAGATAAAGTGTGTTATCCTCTATTCTATTGCACAGGCAGCTGACAAGCTATTGAAAGATCTGTTCTGTGAGCTGGTCGAGGTAGTCATCATGTTCAGTTTATTGATGTTGTTGACCATAATACGTGCTGTAACTGCAATTACTGACAGCAAACCGACAGCACAAACCACGGTAAACATGATGTGTAACGAAAACATAATTTTCAATTTACTTTGGTATTTGACAATGATGACGTGATAGGGGAGGGGAGGGAAGAGGGGGTGCGACTAATTTAAGAAAAAGCCACGCTAAGAAAATTAAAGTCTAAAGATGGAAAAGAGGGCTACAGTCACATCAAAAGAATGGCTTAGCAAGATTTCCGTTTTTGTTTTGTGCTTCTTCGCACATATGTTTGAGCCGTAGTTTCAATTCGTTGAATGAGTTTTGTCACTTAAGGTAAACTAAAGCTCTTCGTACGCGTCGATGCTCTTCAATGAAAGTGTACCGGGAGGCTCGAGGTGGGGAGCCAAATATCAAACTTTTGAATAGTAGAAAACAACCTTTTTGAAGAACTTTCTTGATTTTGCATTCAGTAACTGAGAAGGTAAAATTAGTTCTGCTCGAGCAATGAGAGAGCCAGAGTCACCATGAAGAGGTGTAGATTTTCTTCTCGGCAACTTTCTATCTGATTTATTTCTATCTTTTGTTTTAATCTTTCTTTTTTGAAACTAGCAATCTACATCGTTTTGTTATGGTGGTTGTGGCATTCCCGGCATGCACGGCAAGCATGGTTCTCCTGGGGCACCAGGCCGCGACGGACGTGACGGACGTGATGGCCGTGATGGAGCTAAAGGTGATCAAGGGTTGCAGGGGAAGACTGGACCTCAGGGACCTCCTGGTGATAAGGGACCTGCTGGTGTAAAGGGAGAGGAAGGGGTTAAAGGAGAACTTGGAGCCCAGGGTCCCCTGGTCGGAAAGGGGAACCTGGTCCGATGCCGTTTAAAAGCTGGAAAGAATGCGTCTGGAAAAACTTGAATGATCCAAAGGACAATGGTCTGATCAAGGTGAGTTGTGCAAAAATCACATTCGGCGCATTCAGTTAAGTCGATTTTGTCTTTTACTCCTTATGAGAAACTATGCTGCGAGACCTGTTTTAGACGCCTGACTTTTCATGAGCCGAATTTAATGCGAATCTAGTTGACCTGAGTTGACCAAAGTACTTCTTGATTGATTCAACGCCAAAGTTAATCATCGGTGCCGAGAAAGGACAACTCTTTGTCGCACTTGATGCAGCAGAGGGAAAAAAAGTATAAAAAAATTCTGGCCAAGGCAGGGGATGAAATAGCCCAGTTCTTATAACTGTAGGCCGGAGGGTGAATAAAGAAGGACACGTGTCACTGGGTAACACGAAACCTATGACGGTAATCACATTTTAACTTTTACTACCAAGAAGAATAGATCTTATGGAATCTTTATGTCTCTTTTATTTCCATTTTCGCCAGGACTGTGTCTTTACAAAAAACTTTTCTGATACTGCTCTTCATGTTTACTGGACCGGTGCATTGAAAATTCACAACTGCAATAGCTGCTGCAAACGTTGGTACTTCACTTTCAATGGCGCTGAGTGTTCTGGTCCCCTGCCCATTGACGGAGTTGTCTTCATGTCTAACGGCAGTGGCAAAGTTCTCCATCGCGTCCGCCATATTGAGGGACACTGTAACAACATCCACAAAGGAAAGGTGCGCGTGGGATTCTGGATCGGCAATTGCGCCTCGTATGGAAACGCTGATGGGTACACAGGATGGAATTCAGTATCCCGGATCTTTGTCGAAGAAGTTCCTAAAGCTCAAGTTTAAGGGAAACTTTAGATCAAAGTGATTCCTTATTCAGATTCTCACATTGCGCTAAGTAAGATAAAGAGCCAAAGTCAAATGTTCCTTATGCTTAATGCAGATTTGTAAAGGGGGGAGCGGGGGAGGCAGATTTCAACAGTATAAAGTACAAGCATTCAAGGTTCAAGATTTTGGCCGGCTAAGAGGTTAGGTAGGCGATACATAACTTTTATATAACATATAGAAGGACTCGCTGTTGTGTAAGTCAATAAAGGATTACCAATATTAACAGCTAATAATAATATCAACAGAATTGCCGTCTTTATTCGATTGACCGCCCTGAGCGCTTATTAAATTTTTGGACCTTGAGACTGGGCGCTTATTCGAGGCTGGGTGCTTATTAAATTTTTAGCATTTTCAGCAAGTGTAGTATGTTTATTTTGCAACAAAACAATAAATGCTAATGACAAAATGCGAAGATGTAACAGAGCAAGGTTCCTGTAAAATACTTTGAAGAAAACTCCGTCTTCGGGGAAGTCTCTTATTGGTACTTATTCAATTCGTGAGGGGTGGAGTGGGGGTGGTCACTTTTTTGAGTTTAAGTTGGAGTGGGAGGGAGGTGGGGTGGGGTGGGCGCTTATTCGAGGCTGGGCGCTTATTAACTTTCTGCCTTTAGGATGGGCGCTTATTCGAGGTGGGCACTAATGCGAAGTTGGGCGCTTATTCGAATAAATACGGTATTCTCATTCTGACAAGTTGAATATTTCAGCATGATCTTTGCATGTTCGATAACATTTAATAAAAGCCTTTAACTGAATTGCAGGGTTTGCTAGAATTTGTTGAATTATAACCTTTGAACCATTTTTTTGATATTTTATATCTCGAAGGTTTATTTGTTAAAGGCTATCTTGCAGTAACTGTTAAATGCTGATATTTTCTCAATGGCAGTGGATGTTGCATCATCTATACAGATGTGTGTGTGTGTGTGGGGGGATATTCGCTATAATGGCCTATACGGGGAAGCACCGTTCGATAGGCGTAGGGATTTCGCACCAGTTAAGTATAACTTATGAACTTTCTTCCCCTGAAAAGGGGGGGAGGGGGGGGCTTATTAGAGGATTTATGGTATACATGTATTCATATTCTCAAAGAATAAAAGGGGTACCTTTTTTGTCAAAAATGGTATGAAGAAAAAACTTAAGCGAGGCGGAGCTTCTCTTATAACTTTTTGTTGATAACCCCTTCCCCTTCCTTCCCGCTAGAATATCCATAAGCTGCAAACAAACCTCAGGCAAAAGGCTATCTTGCAACAACTGTTAAATGTCGATATTCTCTCAATGGCACTAGACGTTGTGTCATCTATAAGCCTAACACAACCTTAATAGCTAATGGCCAACTTGCAACATCTTTTAAGTGTCGATATTTTCTCAGTCATGACGCTAGATGTTGCGAGTGATTGGCAGCTGTGCGAATTACTCATATTGTCCGTTTCTTGACCATTTTGGATTTGGTTGTATTGTTCGCAGTTTGTTTTACCTCATGATCGAGCACCTTCATGTTGTTGTTTTTTCCTTCCGGTGCATTGAGTGTCATGTATTATTTTAATACCGCACAGTTTATCTACAAGTCACATACGGTAACCTTGAGGCCTTTTCTCAGACATAACTCTTATGGTTAGGGCTAAGAAGGACATTGTCTGCCAACTGTACTGTCAATTGCTAATCATATTTAAGAAGCTTTTACTTTCTATCTGATAAGAACAAACTGTATTTCCATCAAAAGCCTATTGCACTGAATTAAAGACGTGATTTCGCGCTTAAGATCAAGGAATTCCTATTGTAAGTACTCTATGTATTCTGACTGTAGCTTTAAATTATTCACAAGCAAAAAATTTGTGCCGTGCACAAGAAGACAGCTTCCATCCAACTCAGGATAACCGTGTCCTCTTTCATTGCACCTTTCGCCCCTAAAATCACCAAAACCAGCCTTCTTGCATCCAAAGACTCATCGCCGAGGGTTAGATTAAAAACGGAACACTTTTCAGTTTCCATTTATTTAGTTTTACTGACATATAGCATATGCTAGGATACCATCTACTAACAAACTGAAGTGATTTAAGGGAACGTTCAATGCCGGACGAACATATTCGTGGCGTTTGGCTGGCCAATGGATTTGCCCGCCTCTCATGCGTTTTCATACCGGCCTACGGTTCATGCAGGGGAACCTAACGACTATTTTTCTGTCACTAACTGTTCCAAAGAGCAAATATTGCCTAGAAATTCCTAAATCTCCAGAAAGGCTAATAATTTCTAGGTGAAGAACCTTAATCCATTCGTCTAACGTTTTTCTACAACTTGTCTAAGATTTTCGGAGGTTTTGTGTTTTTCACATTTTGTTACCAAGACAAATTAGTTAAAAAAGGGTCTCCTTAGCCTGAGAAACAGCCAACATTTCACAACGTCATGACTGGTTTCCTCGCAAAATGACCAAATGGGAACCAGTGGTGTCGTCGCGAAATATCGCCTTTTTTCTCGGGCTAAAGTCTTCCTGAAAAATTCGGTATAAAGGTAAAATGAACGTGCCCCAAAATGTTCTAATGAAAGTACGACTACTCCATGTCCTCGAGCTTTCGACCAGAGCCATAAGGGTAGCTAACAATCTCGGTGGCGAAAAAGGCACCTCAAACTTCAACTCTTTATTGATACTGTCATCATCCTTCCTTCCGCAGCCTGCTGTTAACATATTAATTGAACGATTTGATCACCATGCTCAGTTTACTGCTCCTTTTGCTGACTTCATGCATTGTGACGATCAGCAAGGGAAACAAGCAAACCACCCAGCCCACGGTGAGAAAAATGATTTTGTCCCTTTATCTCTTTAAGGCCCAGGTTTATAGCACCTGACGATACGACGACGAACAATATCAATGAAGGGTCACTTAAAGACAGACTGGACCCCTTTTTAACACATGTTCGTCATTGTTGCGACTCTTTCACTTAAAACAAAATTTGGCAATTACACTAAGTTAGAGAATATAGAGAAGGGACCATGTTCTAGATTAGATAGATACTGAAGTTTTTTCGCCGAGTTTATGTACACGCAAGAGCCTATGTGATGGGCTCCTGGTACACGTTCAAACATCAAAAACTACATATTGGTCAATTCACGTTGTAGCTAATTGACTGAAAAAGGCAGATGAATTTATAAAAAAGTGAGTTATCTTGGTATTGTGACGTTCCCATTCCTGTCTTGGTAACCTGTAAAGCGCGCGTTGGTCTGCAACAAAATTATGCAAACTCCTGTCTTTTGTTGTTATGTTGGTCTCCCGGAAAGCTCGTCAAGCCTGGTTCTCCTTGGGAACCAGGCCGTGACGGGCGTTATGGTCATGCCCGAGCCAAATGAAAGGTGACCATGGAAACCATGACGTTTTTTGCGCCTTGTAGGAATTTGATGATTGATAAGCGTATAAGACGTTCTCTTTTCCTCTCTCCTCTCAAAAGAAACAAACAAAACAAAAACCGCTTGATCGAAGGTTAGGGAAGATTGGACTTAGGAGACCAGCTGGAAATAATGCGATTGTGGGTAAAAAGGGTTTTAAAAAACCAAAGGGGAACCTGGAGCCGAGGGTCCCCCAACCAAATTAAACAAAACTGAAAGTAAAACTAAACCTTAACATTTCTCGTAATGGGCGTTAAAAACGATCGCAACAATTCGAAGGAGATGCCTCTATTTCTATTTTTTCCTTGTTTCACTCTAGCAAACTCCATCGTTCTGTTATGGCGCATGCGGCATTCCCGGCATGCATGGCAAGCATGGTACTCCTGGGGCACCAGGCCGGGACGGACGTGACGGGCGTGATAGCCGTGATGGAGCTAAAGGTGATCAAGGATTGCAGGGGAAGACAGGACCTCAGGGACCTCCTGGTGATAAGGGACCTGCTGGTGTAAAGGGAGAGAAAGCGGCTAAAGGAGAACCTGGGACCCAGGGTCCTGCTGGACAAAAAGGGGAGCCTGGCCCGATGCCGTTTAAGAACTGGAAAGAATGCGCCTGGAAAAACTTGAATGATGACAAGGACAGTGGTTTGATCAAGGCGAGTTTTATAGCTTGTCGGTTAATGAAAAATGAAACTGCAAGACACATTGAAAGCGCTTATGTGAGATCTTTTGCGGGAAGGTGATCGGAAAAGGTAATATGACTAAATGCAGGGTAAGTTTGACAAGTTGTGCAAGCGACAGGAGAGAGATTCTGACGATACAAGCAACAGGATGACTAATTTCTAGATGTAACCCAGTTAAAAAGTCACATTTCGAAATTTGTAATTACAATGGGTTCATTGTACAAGTTTTTGAAAAGAACGGGCTGCCGACGAAAAGTTAATGCACATAATAATTCTGAAACGCAAGAAGATGGCAAAGATGGTAAATTTCAACAGCTTTCCCTGTTGACAACTCCTACCCATTGATTGTTTTCGCCTTAATACTCTCTTTCCGATATTTATAACAGGACTGTGTTTTCACCAAGAATTTTTCTGAAACAGCCCTTCACGTATCCTGGACTGGTAATCTTAGAATTGCAAGCTGTAACCAATGCTGCAGACGATGGTACTTCCGGTTTAATAGCGCCGAATGTGTGTCTCCTTTACCATTGACGGGGTTGTGTACTTGGAAAAAGGAAGCTCTGATAATGTTCTCCGTGTCCGCCATATCGAGGGACACTGTAATGACATACCCAAAGGAACGGTGCGCGTGGGATTCTGGATCGGAAATTGCAACGGATATGGGAACGCTGATGGGTACACAGGATGGAATTCAGTATCCCGGATCTTTGTTGAAGAAATTCCTAAAGCACAAGTTTAAAAGGGACTCTAAAGATTAATAAAACGGATTCCTAGTTCTTTCACTGCGCAAAATAAAGTAGATTATAAGCATATTGAAAAGTTTCTTTTATTTACTGTTAGGCTCTGCGGCGGTCGGCAACTGTGTCTCATAAGGAAATGTCAGCGCATACAAAGGTTGGAATTCGGTGTCCCGGATCTTTATTGAAGAAGTCCCGAAAGGTCAAGCCTACAGACTTCATCCTTCAGTACACCCGCTACTGGGTTAGAAATTTTTAGCTTTGAAACATATGTTGTTGTTTTTTAAAGGACAGAAAAGCGCTAAATTCTGCCAGCCACACAGGCTGTAGTAAGATGAACTTCAAGGGGACACAGCTCTACTGCCCGCTAAATAAACGATTTCCTACAAAGAGAAGGAGAAAAGGGGACTTTATGACAGTCGCGTCCGCTTTCCACGGGTCCGGTTAAAACGGGTTTTACTATAAAGTGAAATCTGTAATAACTGGACAAGCATGAGATCTTCGCTTGTGCCCGCCTATGAAGGCGTCCACTGTACAGGGTCCTTTTGCCGAAAATATGGATTTAAAGAAACTTTTAAAACAAGCTGTTCCATTCTTCCGCTTAATACAGGGTGACCGCTTAATATATGGTCCTCTTTATTCGAGTTTTACTGAAAATCGCCTCTGATATTTTTTGATCGCTTGTTGTAAACTGCGCAACGTAAAGCAAAAATAGCTGGTACTCCCTGGTTTCGCCCATGATCACTGGCTCCAAGATTTCATTTAGCCACTCAGCAACGCAGCAAATTTCGGCCAGATAACTATCAGCACGCCTCAGTTCATAATCAGTCAGAGTGGATCAATTGTTAACAAGATAAAACTCCACAGCGAAAACTGAATAAATATCAGACTAGCTGGAGTATAGTTGAAGGTTGACATAGCAACGCAGAGATTGAGGCAAATCGAAATCATTTTCGTTTTCTTCGATAATTCTTTTTCTGTTAGCGCCAACGAGGTAATATACTTTTGCTGTTTATGTATGCTTTTCTGTCCGTTTAAATTACCATTTGTCACTCCGCTATGGAATCTTGGCGAACGTTTTTTTCCTTTCATAGTTGAATGTTGCTGTAGTTCTGCTAGATAAGCGTCTCAATCTTCCTTCACTGTAATTAAAAAGAAAGTAACATGGTTTACTATATTCAATCTATTCACTTTGCCTACGTTTTTTTCTGGGTTCCGATTATAGTCTCGGTATCAAATGTACTATGACAATTAAGTGGTGGGCCATTCACATGAAAATGAATAAAAAAAACCTATGCTTGTAGAATTATCCAGTCTAGTCTCAGGGATTTTAAAAAAAGGCCCCAGTTGTTCATAAGCTGGATAGCGCTATGCACCGGATAAATCAATATCCAACGGATAGGTGTTAGGGAAACCAGTTGCGCTATGCATTGGATAGTGACTTAGAGGTATACACGTCAGTAGATGGAGCTAGATGGTACAAGGTCCCCCCCCCCCTTGACTTTACTCATACTTTATTTACCCTACAGGGCTTCCACAAACGAATAATAATCCCCACCCCCCGCTCAATTGAATTATTCGAAATTTTTCATCACAGTTCATAAGTTACTGAATTAATAAAAAAAGAATGTAGAATATTAATTAAGAAAATGGCGTCAAATGATATATTGGTGTTACTTATAAAAACGTGAAGCGAAAAAGCACAACTGCAACAGAAAGAATTGCAAAGAATGTGTGTGATTGCCACAGAACAGAAAAGAACAAAATGAGCTAAAAAAGTGAAAGTAGGCAACAAACCTTAAATAATTTGTGCTAACTAGTTTTATACCGATACTCTAGTCTTGAATCAGTGTCTTGTCTTTTCCTTCTCTACTAAGACGTCGGTGTAGCAGCAGCTCTCTGTACGAGAGTTATAGCTTCCGAGTAGTTTTGTAAGCCATAAACGCTTGTTATTTACAATGTCGCTGTTTGAGCCAATGCTTCTGGTTAGTCTAGGCATTATAAAGTTGAATTTATAATTTTGATTCAACTGTTAGTCATTTTATGTTTAGAGATTACCCTATTCCTTTGGCGCTGCGTTTTTAAGAGTGAAAATAAAATTTATTCACATAGCATTGAAACGCCAGTATTTTTATCTATTTCACAGCGATCCTATTTACCGAATCAACGCAGTTGACAAAAATAGTCTTTACAACAAGAATGACTTTCACATGCTCTTTACATCGACATTACTGCGCAGTTGCAGTTGTTACACTAAGTCAAACTGGGCGAAATATGAATGAATACACAACTGAATTTCGGAATCGACATAAATGAATTAAAGAAAGGTTGGCTTAAACCTTAACTGTAATTAAACATTAAATTACACTTGGCGTCAAATGAGCGGAATTCCATTGATAACTTTTTGTCACCGAGGAGACTTATTCAGTCATTGAACAAAGGACTTTGGATTTGTTTATCTTAAGAAAAGTTTCACGTTTTTGGTCGCTATAAAGACAATTTATTGATGCTGCGAATGGTATTTCGGCTATTTTCGATACTCCTCATCGATTTGAATTCGCCAATATTGAAAATGACAAATCTTATCAGGCAGAATTGGCAGAATGACGACAGAAGTACAAAATTTAAAGTCAACATTATCGCAGTCTTGACAAGCCAATGCGCGGCGTGGAGAGTATTGTTAGCAAAACGCATGTTGGTTTAAGATTGTGGCCCGTTTTAACAATAACTACAACTCTTTGATGTCTGGTTTAGTCTATAATTGTTTCATGTGCACCGCGTCTTAGATGAAGCATTAGCCGAACAGAATAATGTGGTATTTTGCTTCTTTAAAGAAAACAGAGTTTTCAGACTTCTGTGTTTCATCGGGGCTTCATTCATGTATCTTTCAAACTTGCAACATAATGATATGCCTTCATTTGTAAGACTTAGGCGCACTGATTTTACCCCTGTATTGTTACTGATACCCGAATAAATAGATGACAAATAATAGTGTTTATATTTAACCTACCTCAAAAGTCAATGCACGGGATTCAAGGCCACTTAAATTGCCCTCCCACTGTCATAAAACTCTTTGTAAAGGCTCTTGAAACACCACTAAAACACATCTGAATTCAAGATTGTAAAAATTATTGAGAAAATGTAATACCTTAATAACAGCGGCCCCATTTTCTCGAGCGAGGACACATCGCAAACTAGAGCTGTACGTAATTAATATACCAAAAATAGTCCGTCACTATAGGGTAATTGTCAGGTGTGAACCTAAGCGGACCTTGACCACAACGAATCAGACCGCAAGCCTTTCCATAATGACCCAGCAACTAAGCATTTACCCGCTTATACAAATGCTTTTTAAAAAATTCGATTTGTTAGGTACCAGACTTAAGAACGGTAAGCCCGGACACAGAAGATATCAGAAGATATCTGATAAAGTTCCGAAGATTTCCAAACGTTGCCGAAAATGTCCGAAGATTTTCCGACGACCTCTGAGCACTTTCAAAGCTGTTTAAGGTCCCGTGGAAACGGACAAAACATATTTGGCCAACAACTCCCTGCATTTTTGGGAGCTGCTGCATCTGTTTGCATGTCGCAAAAAGTGACTGGTTTCAAACTCAACAACAACTCGCAACAACATGGAACAGGGTGTGCAAACAGACGTAACATGTAACATCCAAAAATGTTGGGAGTTGTTACGTCGGTCAACAATGTTGCGTTCTCTTTGCACGGGGCTGAAAAGGCGACAATTTTAGCGTCCGTTTGCATCTAGCTTTAGTCTTGGGTCAGCGGGATCTCTGCAAGAAGTGATCCAATAGAGAGATAATCTCTTGATTCTTTTTTAAAAGCCGTTAGTGGCTAAATTAGTCACGCAATCGAAATACACTCAACCGAACTTTAGCCGCCCGTGATATAAAAACTGACAATAGGAAGAGATGCATGTGTATATTAAGCCAAGGGCTCCCAAAAAGTGAAGCTTTCCAAATACGTCAGAGTTGTCTCAAACGGTTTTCTCTATGCTTTGACAGCATATTTGGTTAATTTAGAGCTGCCCTAACAACTATTTCTAAATCTGTACGAATGTCTGAGGGAAACTTTTGTCGTCTCCGTAGTTTCACGTGGCTTTTTCGTCTCATCCCAAACTCTTATGGGCTCATTGGTCTGGTCGAAGGTTCGAGGAAATGGAGTGGCCGTTCTTTCATTAAAGATTCTAGAAGACGTTTTGTCGTTTTCATGCTCAAGTTTTCAAGAAACCCTGTCTTTTTAAACAATAATTGCAGCAATATCTGGGTAATAAAAAGTGAAAAACAAAACGTATACAAAAATCGTTGGTAAGTTAGTACGAAACTCCGAATATCTTAGACGCATAGATTGGTTAAACAGAACTTCTTTAGCCTTTCTCGAGCTTTAGAAATTTCATTCGAAGAGTTATTCTACAGGAAAAAGTAGTTGGGTGCCGAGAGAGTCTTGGGTGCCACTTTAAAGTGGTCCCAAGCTTCCGGGTTTCACGTATTATAGTCAAAGTGAAATAAAAACGAAATTCTTCTTGTCATTAGTAAAACGTAATAGACCTCTTTAGATTGTATGTTTTGTTTTCCAAATGACGGTCTTAGGGGAATTTGCCCCTTTGTCTTTTCATAGAGTAAGCGTACATATGCACCAAAATAAGACGAAATTTTAACTCAAGTCGAGTTAAGTCAATTTTTATTTTAACTCACACAGAATATTAATTAATACAAGTCAGTGCTTTTAAATATAGAAAAAGATTGTGGAGGAAAAAGAATATCGCATGACCTGCATTGGGGAAAACAAAACACACAAGCTAAAAGAGGTCTTTTTAACAAATAAAAATCATCACAATAATCTAATTTCCACAACGTTCCTCTTTTACTTCTTTTTTGGGTACAAAAAGGAAACTAAAAGGCACTGAAATGGACCACCGTTTTGGCACGTTAAGAAATTTGTTACCATGCCGGCTGTCTTGTGAACTAAGACTAGGTCTCTCTCCATGAACGTTACATTCGTTACGTTACGTTCCACTGTTTACAGGTAGCCATTACGACACCTGAAGGAAGATCTTGAGGTTATCCCTGTATTGAGGAGATCTAAGGTTGGTCACACTGCCGGGTCTACGTCTCCTACTCTTTTCGAACAGCTGTGTGGGTTCTTTTACATCATACAAGAACCAGATAAGTCAGAAAGTGCTGTGAGACGGGACCTACGGTTTTTCCTCCTTATCGGAGAAGACTAGAAAGTCTAACCGTTTGTAGATGTCATTAGAAAGGTAGCACTTTCTTCTCAGTTATTTAAAGACCCCGAGTGTTGGTCCGGCCGGGGTTTGAACCCGCGACCTCCCGCTCGGCTGACCGGCGCTCTCCCAATTGAGCTAACCAGGCGGCGGTAAAAAAACGCGCACAACCGGGTTAAAGAATACGGCAGGGATGATATAATGACGGATTATTTACCGTGTCTTTTCTCGATGGTGGTTGTGTTAGAGCGTATGGTTGGGTCTATAGAGGTTCTTAGCCTCGGTTCCCAGCGCAAATTCCCAGAGATAGTGATTCTAACTGCGTTTGGGTAAGGGGGTTCTGTTTTAAACGGCAAAAAATACCCTCTTTTAATAGTTTAATAGTGTAAACAGAAGTTTGGATTATGAAAAAAAACATATACATTTGTTTTCTTATCTTTTCAAATTATCAGTACTGTATTTCGTTCACTCTCAACCAAACACCCAAGCACACCAACCTGTCAGCTAAACGGACCACTCTGTGTAAATTAGAGTTACCGCCTTTACACAGAAAAACACACCGATAGACATACAGTTTTTGGACACTAACTTGCAAGTCAAGTTCGGAAATGGACCGAACGGATTAAACTTATTTCCTCCCTCATTTTACTGTCAAGTGAAGGTTGGAAATACAGTTGTAACGGGTTTCCTTCAAGTTTTCTTTTCGTAGTGTGCACTGAGCAAACAAGTTTGTCCCGTTCTTTGACGCTGGTGGATAAACGCTGCTCGGCTCGAATGATCAACAAGACACAAGTATCAAGAACAACGTCTTCTCAGTACGTTTCAGGAACGATTTCCCCCTCCTGCTGAAGCTCGCTTAGTATGCGGTCATACCAATACCATCTGTTTGCCTTCAGTCCAATTCTTCCATATCCCCGAAGTCTTTTCGTTCTTCAGGGACAACTTTAGACTGTTTGTGTAAAGTTGCAGATATGTTTCCTTTCTCTGAGCTCTCATATTTCTCCGAATGCTGAGGTTTAAAGGAGGGTAAAAAAGACAACACTTGATCGATATCATGACGAGCAAGTCCTAGCCGACCCAGTAGAGAGTCGAATTCGATACTCCAAGATTCCATTGCTTGTAATACCAGAGAATTCTTGCGCTGTAGTCTGTGAAGACAGTGAATGAACATATCTCCTATCACGGCTATGATAATTGAGTACTTACTCAGTTTAAGGTAAGTAGGAACGAGGTCCTTGATCACAGCATTTGCCAAGGATTCGACCGCTACGATCAGTCAGGTTTATTAACTGAACAGCTCCTCTGCTCTAATAGTGAACAATTATTGAATGAGGCTGAGTATGGTGTGAAGAATAATGCAGATCGAGGAAAACATGAAATATCTACCGAGGATAAAGGCCGAGGTAAATAAAATCCTCCGAGATCTGCATAATTTCACATCATACGAAAAACGAATTCAATAACTGTTTCAGTATTTACTCGAAATATTTCTAAGTTCTTAAGAAGCCTAACTCCTTGCAGAATTTCTTCAAAACTTTGGCCTATTTCTCGGCACGGTTTCAGGATATAATTAATAAAAAAGATGATTTTTCTTGTAGATACTGCTTACAAAGTAGATAATATCCATCCAGCAATACATGTATGTTTTGCGTATTATTGCATTTCGTCCGTTCAGTTTTAATCAGAAATTCAGTTGTTTCGTCTTCGGATAGCTGTGAACGCCACCACTTTTTTAAGTTCACCCGTGAATAAACAGCTTGGCGGCCGCGCCCGGAAGCAAGGGTGATCGATGGTCTATTGCCCGAGTTGCCTCGTTTCCAGGCTCATATACCGTCGATCAACCTCGTTTCCAAACAATATACCATCGAATCAATTGTATATTTCTCGCATCTTCCAAATTTTTGCATCACCGGTTGGTTATGAAGACTTGAGCCAATCAAAAACGGCGAAATATTTTGAATGAACAATATTAATAATAAATAATGATGGACACAAAAAAGTTAGAAGGACAATCGTTGAATACACGTTCAAAGTAGCTGAAAAGCAAATTACAGGACTTATACTGGGATTTTTTAAGTAAACGGAAAATGAATGCAACGGAGAAAACAGCTTTTTACTCACATGACGATCAATGCTAGTCCCAAAATGTTCCACTGTAACGGCTTCAGGGCCACGTTTTTGTTGCTGAAACTGCAGAAAACCACAATTTCAACTTATTTGGCTATTTCGTCTTCCAATAACCTGAGGACTCGTCCCCTTTCCAGCTCTTAACTGCCAAAAGCAGTTGAGCCAACACGCTGCTTTTCAGCGTGACATCTGTGCGTCCACTTTTCTGTCCATGTCAATACGATTACCGTCAATTATATTGATACTGCAACATCTTTCAAATGTGGCCAACGCTGGCTGGCGCGTTTTTATCTGTGGCACTTTCCCCCCCGTCGATTCCTAATCCGTTGCGTTTTTTCTCATACTTTCAATCGCGTACATGTATTATACGTTTTTACCGACTGCACGCTTCCATGAAGTTTTCCATGTTTTAAATGGATTATATGGTTGTTTTCTAGGGCTTCGCTCTCCCGGCTGAAGTTGCTAGTTTTTGCTTCAAATTAAACTACATTGATTTACTGAGTTGCCTGAGCTTGAAACAGTAAAATCTGTGATGCAGTTTACTCACCTAAACGTAAGAACCAGCTGCGTTAGGTCATGTGATACTTCACCCACGGTCAACTTGATTTCACTCAACGGGTCTGGTAGACTGAAGGAATGAAAAAAAAAAAAAAAGGGCAGCATTCGCAGCATTGGGAGTAATGTCGGGATGGACGACCATCAATTCTAGGTGGCAGAGGACGGGGAAAGAGAAAATTATTTTCTCCGGCTAATCAGATGCCAGAAATTCAAATGCTACGGAAAATTGTTCGGGGGCTCCCCCGTTCTTGCCGTCGTCCCCAACCGACTAGCTTCCAAAGGGTCTCTGCGAAAGATGGAGAAGTTAGACCTTCGGTTTCTTTTTTTCCTGGAAACAGCCAACGGACCAGCGGTAGTGGAGAGGTGCGCACTATCATCAGCTGACTGACCGATATAAAACTTGACGATTGGTCTGCGCTAGTTAATATCGACATTATTTGTTCGCGGTTGCAGAGGGTACGCTCGCGAGATGAAAGGCTTAGAGTTCTAAATTAGATTTTCAAATTGCAGCATACCAGATAACAATAAATGAGATAGTCTCCAACTTACGTTCGGAACAGCTTGTCCAACACGATTCGTCTCCTGATAGTTGTTTGTGATTTAGAGTCAATCGGTGGCAGAACACAAACGGGTTCCTGGAGGGAAAAAATGGAATTGAAATTTCTCGTTGTGACAGTCGCAGTTACACTTTTGTTCCAACAGTAGACTACGGTATTACCTTTTTAAAAGAACTAGTAACCGACGGTAAAATATTAGAGAAAACAAAACATCTTATTTCTTGAAAGATATTATTTCTTAGTATGTCTCTGTAACACAATCTTCATCTTATTTATTGTTTAAGTTGTTGTTGCTGCTGCCTTGCTGCAGGTGAGATCTTAATCTTAAAAAGAACTATGTCGAGAAATTAGACCAAATTCACCAATGAGTAATCAAAGTGGAATATAAAACATCCGGTCCTACTTTTTTTCAAATTACACAATAAATAAAAAACCCGTAAAACGGAAGAAGATAACAGCGGATCGCCAATGGTGTCTTTGAAAACTGTTCAGCTTGTCAAGTTTTTTTTAAAGGTTTATTTCTCTAAATTATTACGCTCGAGAAACATTCGTTTGTCATTGAGCTATGGTTTCAAAAAAGATCTAAAACAATACATAAACAAAACAGCTACATGTACATGACAAGAATATACTTATTATTATTATTACTACTACTAATTCTGAGCCCTGCCACACCTTATTGTATCTCTCTTTTACGGTGATATCTTCATGGCTCAGTTTAGGTGATGTTTTCTCAGTATCTGAATCTGAGTCATAATCCTTCTTAACGTTGACCACGGGCTGAAAGAACCGAGTAGCTCTCGCTATGTCTGAATCTGAATAAAAAATGGTACGTTGTAGAACAATCTGGTGAAATTACGTGGTACATTCCAGTATTAGGATAAAGTGCCGGAGCTCTCGCGGGTTGCAACGACCTCGGAACTTTATTTTTTGGCAGCAACAATGTCAAGTTAGCAGTTTCACTTAGAAAACCAGTTGTGATACCCTAATTTCCGTAAATTTTCTTAATTTTAATTCCTAAGTTAGTTTGAAAATAAACAAAAAATACTTGACTACTACATATAGGGTTAAAGTCCCTCCACACATTTTGAATAGTCTAGCTCAGAGCCAAAACAATGTAGTTGACTCAATCTAGAACGCATTACGCGTCTTTAACAATATTGTACATGACAGGCGGGATTCGAAGGTAAACTGTTTACTGCCGTATATCATTTTCACGGCAACAATGCTTTTTCGTTGGTGCAACAATTCACATCCCCTCAAGGTAGATTTTGATCACACAGTAATAAATTGGTTTTAACTTTGGCCGAACATCAAGTCAAACCAAAGTTTAGACTTCGTAGGACATGGGCAAATGTGCGTCATGGACAAAATGTCGTTAACCAAAGAAACTTCCAAAACGCTACAGGAATGTTTCAACAAGCTCTTCCTACCTCTTTCTCCTTCGTCTGGTAACCTTGTCTCTGTCATTGTCTTATCATCTGAGAGGCCCAAATACTCAAGTGTTGAATGCGTACACCATTCTTGAAACACGGCTTGCACAGACTGAATGATAGTTTCTCTCCTGTGGTGGGAGTCATTTTTTACGTCATGCCTTCCTACTTTCTCTGAAGAAAATGTTCTGTTTTCCACACTAGATTCTTTGTTATCCTCATTTTTCCATGAACGAGCTGTCTTACTACCATCAATATCACAAACAGAGTATCCTGGATTTAAGTTTTCAGAGTTATTATCCTTTTTCAAGTCTTGATTGTCGTCTGTAAGTTTGTTTTCATAAAATTTACTTCCCTCACTTTGGTCTTCAGTATTGATTGAAGGAAAATCATCCCGGTCGGAATCTTCTAAGCATTCGCCTCCGTTCCCATCACTAAAAACAAAGCAAACCCAATAACAATTAAGCTAATCTTCACTGACAGGTCGGTATGATTGACACAGTAGGCACTGTCATTTTGATTTGAACTTACAGTGTATACTTGACAAGATTTGGAGCGCAAATTCAATTATTTAAGAACCTGAGTCACGTCGACCGACCCTTTCCCATATTTTACAATAAAAGAATACTCAGACTGGTTTACGCAATGTAGTAATCATATCTGTGACACACTGTAATAATAATAATAATAATAATAATAATAATAATAATAATAATAATAATAATAATAATAATAGCAGCAGCAGCAGCAGCAGTAGTAGTAGTGCTAGTGCTAGTGGTACGCTGATCCTGGCTAAACGTTAGGACAAGTTGTTGTGGGAGTCACTTCGTCAAGATACTGAATGTTCCATGTAATTCACAATAGAAACTTAACGCAAATGAGCTTATTCCATTTGTCAGAACCTTTGAGGCAGACGCTGTTTGCACTAAAGCATGCATGGTAACCACACTTCAGGATAACTGCACTAGAAATCTCTGGGCCTGTGGGTTAAAACATACACTGCACCATACGCTAACAAAAACAGGACTTTTCTTATCATTAAATATATTGTAATCTGTACCATGAGGCACAACAGAAAACCACACCATGATCAACGTCATGTCATGATTTGTGTGTGCTTTCTTTGTATATCACAGACAATATAAACATTATAATGTACATGAGAATAAGGCATATTCACCTGACATTTTCTTGCTCTTCATCCTCTCCCAGCAAAACGTTGCCAGCACCAGTTCTATCAAAATCGTAAGTCAGGATGATCAATTCAGTCTAGCTGACTACCAGGCCGGCAGTGAGTACTGTAGGTTTAGTTTATCTGAGTTTAATGCATTTGCCTGCAAATAGCGAGAGCTAGACAAGGCAGGCGCAGTAGAAAGGTTACAGCAATCATTAGCGGTGGTTAGCTCGAAAGCTAAGCTGCTCTGACCACCATACACTTCGACCCAAGCCATTAATTTTCTTTTTTTTTCCTTCTTCTTCTACTTTGTTAGTGTATTCCTACCTTACTATATATAATGTAAATATTTTATAAAGTGTGAATAATAAAACTGAATTGAATTAACAAAAGAAACTGAAACAAACCTTACCCACCAGAGCTGTCTTCACTCTCCAATAAACTAAACACTTTCAAACTACGAAAACAAAATTTAAATTACTATTAAATACACGTACATCAAAGTTTAGTTGAGACATGTTTTTGTTGATATCGGTGAAGGCTCGGAAAAATATGCATGTAAAGCTTAGAAAGTGTGTGAAGGTCTTTAAGTGCAATAAAACCTACCAGAACCCATTTGTAACTGAATGATTTGTTTATTCAATTTTGCAACTATTATGTAAAACAGGGCCACTAGCCAGAAGCAAGACAAGGCACATGACTCAGCTAGATTTTAACCCAAATCAGATCTTGTCTATTGCCAAAAGTCTGAATGAAGTCTCCTACATATAGGGGCAAGGAAACCATGCCTGCAGGACGATGAAAGGCACACTTGATAAAAATCCACATTGTTATTGCAAGGAAGATTTTACAACAATACCTTAAAAAAGGTAAAGGTAAATTGACTAAAATAACAAGTGCCTTCATTAAGACAAACATTAGAAGCTCATCATAAGCATTGATTTTCTTAAGGCTATATTCACTGTAAATTACCACCATACCTTTCACCAATCCGGGTCCAGACAGGAGAATCTGAAATTTGTGATCCAAAATATTTTGATGCTTTGAAACAGAAGTTGCTGCAAAAGCACTGTTAAAGAAAACCCACAAGTCAGTTGGCATTTCAGAAAAACAAAAGAATTATATTTTACTCTTAGTCAGGGAAGTTTTGCCCCTGCAAGAAGAGTCTTTGAGACAGACATTCCTGCTCGTGTACAGTAGGTAATATTTTTTGAGATTTTTGTCAGTCTTATGCTTTCACTCTCCGACGTGAAAAAAATTACAACAGTAAAAAATACACAAATTCAAGGGAGTGGCAGGGGCACCACCACAGCTGTAGGCCATTCACAGTGGGGATGTTGTCCCCAGAAATAAAGAATTGTTTATTTGTTTTGTGAACTAAATGTACAGGAAACCTTTCTGGTTTGATATGTGTTCCTGTTCATCACAGCAAGCTACACTCACAAGGTATCATGCTAAGAGAAATTACAGACAACATCTAGAGAAAGGAAATAAAATGTTCAGTATTGTCCACTGGATCAAGTAGGAAAGAACTTGACAGTGTGTTAATCAAAACAATCCAGACTAGTTAGCTCCACAGAGTTTCTACTGATTATTGTTAAACGGCAGTAAACAGCACAAGTTTCTAGAAGGAATACACCGCTGAATCATAGTATGATAAAAGTAAAAACTCACCTTTCTTTCAGTAATATCATAGACTCTATTTGTTTGCAATGAGATTTTATATTTTTGAGATGGAATCTAAAAACAATTCAAACAAAATATCACAAGGCTTTAAATACATGTAATACAAAACATTTTCTTGCCCTGTTTGTGTCACAATAGGAGAAAACAGGGAATAGGATCCCCCATTTTTTAAGATGATAATTTTCTAATTTATACACCATATACACAGTCCCTCTGTCCTGTTATGCATGTAACTT